CTGCACCCTGAGACCACCCACAGGAGTGGAGGCTGCACCCTGAGACCACCCCCAGGGCAGAGGTTGAGAGGCCACAAAGCTGGCACAGTAGTGCCAGTTACTGAGGTAACTATCGCTGTTCACTGAGAGCAAAGGAGCCTCCCAGGTCCTGTCCTGGGGGGTCACAGGTTAGAGAGATCGGTGATTATAGTCTCCAGATACAACTGGGAGTGTCCCCTTTACTGGAGACTTCAGCACTCTCCACACCCTCTTCCTCCATGCCCATGTGGTCACAGGTCAACACAAGGTACACTCTGTGTCATAGCTCCACAGTTCTGTCTGACCTAGCTTACGCCGTAGTGAAGGAAATGTGTATTATTTCTACACTGTCTTTCAGTATCTCTGACAATAGGATTTTAAACACAAATCCCAATTATTAAAATCCTCCTCCCCCTCCTCCTCCTCCTCTTTCTTTTTGTTTGAGACGTGGTCTCAAGCTGGCTTTGAATGCACCAAGTAATGGCAGGTTACCTTGAACTCTGATCCTCTCTTGTTCACCTCCCATGCACAGTTTGTGTGGTGCTGTGGACCAATCCAGTGCTGCCTGAATACTAGGCAGGGACTAAACCAACTGAGATACTTCTCCAGCCCTAGATCTTCCTGAGTCATAAACACTTTATCCAATTCATTGACTATCAATGCCAAATTTCTTCTATCTGTAAAAATGCTATAGAATGTCTTCATCCAGTAGTTTCCCCACCCCCACCACCCTGTGCTTCAAGATCAAACCTGAGACGTTATACAAGCTAAGAGAGCAAAGTCACTGGGTTGTCTAGTTTTATCTAGAGACATGGTCCCTCTGTGTAACCCCATCTGTCCTGGAACTTGCTGTGTAGACAATGTTATTCTTTTGGGTCTGGTCCCTTTAAGGGCAAGCCACGCCCACTCCCTGCCACTTCTGACCTCCTGGTCGCCATCTTAACTTCTGCTGCTGTCCCTTTCTCTCGGCGCGTGCACACGTGTCTCCTCTGTCTCTATGTTTTTATCTCTCTTTGTCTCTCTATCTCTGTCTCTCTGCCTCTACTTTAAGTAATAAATGTTTAGCTTTATGTTCAGCCTTATGTCTATTTACTCTGCCGTCTGCTCACCCGCCTGCTCTCCGAGCCGCATGGCGGGACCAGCCTGCCACCCTGGAGATCTTGCAGGGACCCGCAGCTGTCCTTGTCGGACTAGCGACTGCTCTGAGAGCCTGCCAGGGAACATGTCAACATTAATATATTTTAAACAACAACAGACCAGACTGGCTCAGAACTCACAAGAGATCTGACTGCTTTGCGCCAATTGCTGAGGTTAAGGAACCACCGGTGTGTGCCACCACACATGGCCATTCCCAATCTATTTTTGGTTATATTCTCCAATATTTCACAAAGAACACTACCTCTTCAGAGACATTCACCAAACCTTCTGTCATAAGAAACAAGAACCAAACCCGACTCCACACCAGAGAGAAAACAGCACTGTTGCCTGGCTGGTCTGCACCATTGCTGTAGAGGCTTGGCGAGAGGCAGTTTCAGGTGTTTTGGTGAAACTCAGGCATCTTGCATTATCACCGGTCTCATGGTTTAGCAAAGCAGGAAGTAGCTGTATTGGATCAGACTGTTCTCTCTATGTATGATGGAGAATATACTGGCTAGTTTTATGTCAACCTGATGTAAGTTACCTGAGAAGAGAGACCCTCAACTGAAAAAAAAATGCTTCCCTAAGATGGGCTGTAGGCAAGCTGTAGGACAGTTTCTCAATTAGAGATGAATGGGGCAGGGCCGTGGTGGGTGGGGCCATCCCTGGGTTTCTGGTTCTGAGTACTACAAGAAAGCAAGCTGAGCTTCCAGTGAGCAGGACCCTTCCATGGCCTCTGCATCAGTCCCTGCCTCCAGATTCTTCTCCTGTTTGAGTTCCTGTCCTGACTTCCTTCAGTGATGAACAGTGATGTGGAAGTGTAAATCCTATAACGCCCTTTCTTCCCCAACTTGCTTTTTGGTCATGGTGTTTCATCTTAGCAATAGAAACCCTAAGACAGAAGGCGATTGCTACATTTCTGGCCACTCACACACACCTGCATTTAGCAAGCTCATACTGGTATCTTGCTTCAGATGGCACTTACATATGTGTAAGTGGGATTTTCTGTAGGACCTCTTTTCTTCCTCCTTGTGGCTGGGTTCTAACAGCTCCCTCAGGGGAGGGGGTGAGAAGGTGTGGAGTCAATAGCATAAATACTGGGAGTCAGGTAAAAGGCAAACAGCAGACTTGTTTATTCAGAGATGGGGAGAGCCTTATATACCCTCCTCCCAGCACCCTCGCTGCTTTCTGGTGAAGATCTTTTCCCATTCTGTAGGCTGTCGTTTTGTCTTATTGACTGTGTCCTTTGCTTTACAGAAGCTTTTCAGTTTCAGCAGGTCCCATTAATTAATTGTTTCTCTCAGTGTCTGCACTGCTGGGGTTATATTTAGGAAGTGGTTCCCTGTGCCAATGCATTCAAGTGTACTTCTCACTTTCTCTTCTATAAGATTCTTTTGAGGTCTTTGATCCATTTGGACTTGAGTTTTGTGCATGGATATAGATATGGATCTATTTTCCTTCTTCTACATGTTGATATCCAGTTATGCCAGCACCATTTTTTAAATATGCTTTCTTTTTTCTATTTTCTATTTTTGTTTCTTTGTCAAAAATCAGGAGTTTGAAGATGTGTGGATTAATATCCAGGTCTTTGATTCTGTTCCATTGGTCCTCCTGTCTGTTCTTGCTAATACCGTGATGTTTTCAGTACTGTAGCTCTGTAGTAGAATTTGAAGTCAGGAATTGCGATGCCTCCAGAGGTTCTTTTATTGTATGGGATTGTTTTGGCTATCCTGGATTTTTTTGCTTTTCCATATGAAGTTGAGTATTGTTCTTTCGAGGTCTGTGAAGAATTTTACTGGGATTTTGATGGGCATTGCATTGAATCTGTAGATTCTATCTACCCAAGAGCATGGGAGATCTTTCCATTTTCTGGTGTCTTCCTTAATTTATTTCTTCAAAGATCTAAAGTTCTTGTCATACAAGTCTTCCACTTGTTTGGTTAGAGTTACTCTGAGATATTTTATGCTATTTGTGGCTATTGTGAATGGTGATGTTTCTCTGATTTATTTTCCAGCCCTTTTATCATCTGTGTACAGAAGGGCTACTGATTTTTTTTTTGAGTTAATCTTGTATCCTGCTATATTACTGAAAGTGTTTATGAGTTGTAGAAGTTCCTTGGTAGAATTTTTGGGGTCTCTTATGTAAACTATCATAAGCAAATAGTGAGAGTTTGACTTCTTTTCCAATTTGTATCCCCCTTGATCTCCTTTTGGTGTCTTATTGCTCTAACTGGGACCTCAAGAACTACATTGAATAGATATGGAGAGAGTGGACAACCTTGACTTGTTCCTGATTTCAGTGGAATAGCTGGGAGTTTCTCTCCATTTAGTTTGGTGTTGGCTGTTTGCTTGCTGTATATTACCTTTATTATGTTTAGGTATGTTCCTTGTAGCCCTGCTCTCCAAGACCTTTATCATGAAGGGATGTTGTATTTTGTCAAAAGCTTCTTCGGCATCTAATGAGATGATCATGTGGTTTTATTTTTCAGTTTTTTTGTGTAGATTTTCATATATTGAACCATCCCTACATCTGTGGGATGAAGCCGACTTGGTCATGGTGGATGATGGTTCTGATGTGTTCTTGAATTCGATTTGCCAGTATTTTATTGAGTATTTTTGCATCAATGTTTATGAGTGAGATTGGTCTGTAATTCTCTTTCTTAGTAATGTCTTTCTGTGGTTTGGGTATTAGGGTAATTGTAGCCTCATAAAAAGAGTTTGGCAATGTTCCTTCTGTTTCTATTGTGTGGAATAATTTGAGGAGTATTGGTATTAATTCTTCTTTGAAAGTCTTGTAGAATTCTGAGCTGAAACCATCTGATCCTGGGCTTTTTTTTTTTTTGGTTGGGAGGCTTTTGATGACTGTATCTATTTCTTCAACAGTTATATGTCTGTTTAATTTGCTTTCTGGCCTTGATTTAATTTTGGTAGATGATATTTATGCAGAAAATTGTCCATTTCCTTTAAGTTTTCCAATTTTGTGGAGCACAGGCTTTCAAAATATGACCTGATGTTTCTCTGTATTTCCTCCGTGTCTGTTGCTATGTCCCCCTTTTCATTTCTGATTTTGTTAACTTGGATATTCTCTCTCTGCCTCAGAAAGACAATTATCACATGTACTCACTCATAAGTGGTTTTTAAATATAAAGCAAAGAAAACCAGCCTACAAATCACAATCCCAGAGAACCTAGACAACAATGAGGACCCTAAGAGAGATATACATGACTCTAATCTACATGAAAAGTAGAAAGAGACAAGATCTCCTGAGTAAATTTGGAACATGGGGACCTTGGGAGAGGGTTGAAGGGGAAGGGAGAGGAAGTGGGAGCAGAGAAAAATGTAGAGCTCAATAAAATCAATAAAAAAAATAGCAGAAAAATAAAAGAAGTGCTTGTTCTATCTTCCCTGTCCTCAGCTCCTACCTTGTGAGGAAGTCAGTTTGGTGTGCAGAAAGAATCCAGGACAGAATCCAAGGCAGAACGCAGAGTAAGGTGGAAACTGGTTCAAAGGGAAGCCTGATGCTGGGGTAGAGCCTGCAGCAGTTTCAGTACTTGGGAGGTAGAGGCAGGAGATCAAGAGTCAAGGTCATCTTCGGCAGTATAGTGTGAGGCCAGGCTTGGCTACAGGAAATTCTGTCTTGAAAAAGCAGAAATCAACCAGATTCTCTGAATGTGGCCGGATTCTCTGGATGTGGCTGGCCCGGAGTCTTTCTGAAAAGCCATTGACAATGGCACTGGGACTTGTTTCCTCTGCATATACTGGATTTTGCGGATCCAGTCTGTCTGGACACTCACCTTCCTGGACCTGGAGGGAGGCGGGGAGGAACTTGA